ATATTTAGGATAATTATAATAATATTTCTTCCTATCTAACCATTTTAAACTGATTGTTAGTAATATTATACTGATATACAACTACTTCGGTATTAATATTTAATATGATGAAAGTCTGGTATATAAAAAAATATGTATACATATTATACGAGTATAAGTCAGTGACAAGTGTGCCGCTGCTACATATGGGTTGGAATTAGGGTGCCGCGAGGGAAAAAGGTTGGGAAACGCTGCTCTAATGTATATAACTTTTAGAAATGTACTTTTTGTACCAGATTTGTTGCATAATTTATTCTCTGTAAGAAAGATTGAAGAGAAGGGAATGAAAGTAATTTTTTATAATGCTAAAGTTTTAATACAACAGAATGATAATTTAGTTGCCATGGGTGAAAGGAATGATAAAATGTATCAAATTAATTTTAATATATATAATATGCATGATTCAACTAATGCTAATTTAGTTATTGAAGGAAATGCAAACTTATGACATCAAAGGCTTGGTCATTTATGTAAATCAAAYTTGTCTAGATTAATCAAAGATAAAATGGTTGATGGAATTGACATTTCTACCAAGGGCATAGATAAACTTGATGTTGTGTGTGAATCATGTTAGGAGGTAAACAAACAAGACGTCCATTCAAGGAAAGGTTGCTTCAACGGTCAAGTCGCACTTTGGAACTTATACATACGGATGTTTGTAGTCCAATATCACTTGCGACATAGGATAACAAAAGGTACATTTTAACGTTAATTGATGACTTCACCCACTTTACAATGGTTTATCTTTTATCAAAAAGAAGTGAAGTATTAGAATGTGTTATGCAGTATGAGGCTTATGTAACATCATAAACATAACTGTAAAATATCTCATGATATAAGATGTGATAATGGAGGTGAATATACTTCTAAGGATTTTAAAGAATTTTGTATTACTAAGGGTATACAAATTCAATACACAACGGTGTATACACCACAATTAAATGGAGTAGCTGAACGCATGAATAGAACCTTGTTAGAAAAAGCTCGCTGTGTAATACTACATTCAGGTGTTAAAAAGGAATTATGGGGAGAAGCAATTTTATCATCTACCTATGTAACAAACAGAAGTCCTTGTCGTTCATTACAATCTAACAAAACTCCAGCTGAGTTGTGGACAAATAAAAGGGTAAATCTATCTAAATTAAAAGTTTTTGGTTGTGAAGTTTTTTTCACATTCCTGAGGAAAAGAGAACAACGTAAGATTCAAAAACAAAGAAATGTATTATGGTTGGTTACAACATAAATAGTTATAGACTTTGGAGTGAAGATTAAAATAAAATAATTGTATCAAGAGATGTAATATTTGATGAAAATAAATTTACAGAACAAACAAGTATTGAAGATGAACATTAAACACATTATTGATGAAACTAAATGTCCAGAACCAAATTATGTAACTCAAGATATAGAGAGAACAACTATGAATGAAGAACAACCACCCAAAACTTCAATATTAAGAAAAACACCAATATGACATGAAGACTATGATTTTAGTACATTGGCACTGAATGCAGATACTTTGATTGATGATTTGCCGTATGACTGTAATTCAATTATAGGTCGACATGATGAAAAACTATGGTTAAAGGCAATTGATGAAGAACTTCAGTCGTTAAATAAAAATAACACATGGGAATTAGTACAATTACCTGTCGGACGAAACCCTATAGACAGTAAATGGGTTTTCAAAATTAAAAGGGACAACGAAGGAAACATCTTGAAATACAAGACTAGATTAGTGGCAAGAGGTTTTCTTCAAAAACATGGAGTTGACTTTAATGACACATATGCTCCTGTTGCAAAGCTTACAACTGTCCAAGCTATATTGGCACTCATAAATGAAAATTAATTATGCGCTCATCAAATGGATGTGAAGACTGCATTTTTGAACGGGTACCTCAATGATGAAATTTACATGGTGTTACCAGAAGGATTCAAAAATAATGAAGACACAAAAATGGTATGCAAACTAAATAAATCTCTATATGGACTGAAACAGGCAAGTAAATGCTGGAATGAAAGATTTCATACGTATATTAACAAACTAGGTTTCAAGAGATCAGACAATGACTATTGTTTATATTCTCAGTCAGACACTGATGAAGTTTTGAGTTATCTTATTCCATATGTTGATGATATATTAATTATCAGTAAACACTGTCTTACATTAAGTAAATACAATTAAAGATAATCTCATGAAGGAGTTTGAAATGACTGATTGCGGTGAATTAAATTTCTTTCTTGGCATTCACATAGAAAGAAATCATGACTCTTTAAAAATTGATCAAATACAGTAATTAAAAAAGTATTAAACAATTTTAATATGGAAGATTGCCATCCAATATCAACTCCAATAGAACACAAATTAAATCTAACTTCTGATAAAAATGATAAATTTGTGACAAACCATATAAACAATTAATTGGTTGTTTAATGTATGCAATGCTTGGTACAAGACCAGACCTGTGTCATGCTGTTAGTTATTTTAGCAGATATCAATGTCATCCAACTGAACAACATTGGGTGGCATTTGAAACGTGTTCTACGTTATATCAAAGGTAGTCTTGATCATAAACTTTGTTATAAGAAAAACATGAATACGTCTCAAATTTTGTCTGCATATATTGATACTGATTGGGGTAATGACATCAACGATCGCCGCTCTAGAACAGGATATCTGATTAAACTTTATGGTTGTACAATTTCATGGTGTTCTAGAAAACAACAAACGGTTGCAATCTCGTCAACGTAATCTGAGTACATGGCTATGAGTGATGCAATATTTTAAGTACTATGGATAAGAATTCTTATATAATTTTTGAACTTAGATGTTAGTGAACCTACATCACTCTATGAAGATAATCAAAGCTGCATACAATTAACATCAAACCCTGAATACCATAAATGTACCAAACATATTGATATAAAACAYCACTACATTCGAGAAAAAGTACAAGACGGAACAGTGCAGTTAAAATACATTCAAACAACTGATCAAGAAGCTGATATGCTGACAAAGTCCCTGCTTACAAGTTTAATGCTGAAATTGAAAGGGAATGTTGAAGTTAGACACAATTCCTTTTTGTTATTATCTAATTCTAGGTTATGTTATTTTATTCCTTTTGTAATATGATGTTTTTTTTTTTTTTTTAATGCGTTACGCAGTCACGTAGAGTGTAGACCATGGTGTCATGTAATTATAATTTTTCTTATTAATTATAAAAGTGTCTTATAATAAATGTAAKCTTTATTAKATTACATTGCAGTTATTAAAATACGGTTTCTCTTTTTAAATCAATAAAACGTACATTGCGGTTACCAACAAAAAGGACGTCAATTGACATTAATGTTATCTGATTTAATAGGTAGGTATGTTATATTAAATTGTTGAAAATGTTGGAACTATATTTATTTATCATGATATTTTGTTATTTACAATTTGACATAACGAAGTGATGCTAGAGAATGTATAAAATAACTATAGTTAAAGCATAAATTATATACATTACCTACAACTATAGTTATTTTATAAATTACCTAGTTATTTCATAAGCTAACTGATTCAACACTTTAATTGTAACATAAATAGATTTAAAGCATTTCACTTTTACTTAAACTATCATTTTTTATACAATTTTTATTTATTTTTTAATCATATTTTAAATATATTTCTATAAAATTTTCAAAATATTAATACAAATTTATTTACTAAATTATCTCCCCCTTCTATCGCTTAGACCAGTAGGTATTTAGCAAGATATTTGTGTGTAAACATTTTCACAAACTGTAAATTATTAAATTTAAGGACTCGGTCTACACTCTACGGTGTGTACCTTACCTTGATATTGCGAATTTTAACGGTTTCCGTTTACATAAAAAATGCATTAAAAATCGTACAACCATGCTATCAGCTTGAAATTTTCAATATTGATTACAAATGTTGTGATCTGTAAGCAGGATAAGTTATGGTAGTCTCATATATAAGAATCAAAGACCCTGTAGTCACTGAGCGGACGGGTGGAGTTTCACAGATTACATGGAATCACCCGGCAGTTAAAAATGTCACTTTTATAAATTAATTAAAAATCGACTTAATACCTTCACAGTTTGATCAGTCATGTTGTAAGCTATCAGCCCTGTTCATTTTATTTGATGTTTAACGCTTAAGAAGCCCGTAGTACAATATAAGACACGTGTAGTTTAATTGAGTACCTACAAGGAATCATTCGGTATTTATTGCAAATTTTAAGCTTAAAAATTAATTTAAAATGTAAAAATTTTACAATCGTTTTGAAACTCACGCCATTAGATTAGACATGTTCTTAGCAACCATCCCTGTCAATTAAATGTATAAGGAAAAAAACCTGTCACAAAACACAAATACATAATAATATGACAAAGTATAACATTATAGTGCATCCTACATGATCTAAGCAAAAACAAAAAAGGTCAATGGGAGAGGATCTAACCCCCACGCCCCCTTATATACGCCATTGCTTGTTTTTCTATGTCTAAAACAAATAACATCACCTACAATTATTATATTAATTATAAAATTGTTAGTTACAAATTTTGTTATAATTTCTATACTTCGGGTTAATGACAGTCGGTTGAAATTAGTTGTCATTACTCAATCAGTTAAAGCAGATATTACTGTAAAATATGTAGGTAATTAATATATTTTATAATTTTATTTTACTGGATTACAAATGCCGCTAGTGATATAGTATTATTTTTGTATTTTATCTACCTTAATCTTAAGATAAGTGAACAATTTTTTTTTTGTGAAAATCTAATCTACAATTTCTTTTCAGTGATTTAATCATTTTTACTTTAATGTGTGTAAAAGCGGAACTAGTTGTACGGCTAAAAAGTGTTTGCCTATAAATATATAATAATTAGATTAATAATAATATGAGCTCCAACCTCGTTTCTCACATTACACCTATAGGTATACGTACCGACATATTTGATAAGCATTTTAAATATCTCCTGGTTGCCACTCTCTCCGTTCAGGTTGGCCATGATCTTGTGCGTGCCTATATTGCCCAACAGCAAGCCCAGATCCGTGACCTGTTCCATGCCCGCGATACCGGTGTCGAGCATTTTGGCAACCCTCTTGATGAAGCCGGTCGGTTTTTTTACTGTTTGTCGCTTGACCGGTGTCTGGGTTTTACCACCACCCTCGTTCGATTTACTCGAGGATTCCGACGAAGAGCTGCCSGTATGCTGACCACCGATCTGTTTCCGGGCCACGTGGTACATCTTGTTTGACACCCCCTGGAATGCGTCCATGCCACGTTGTACGACTCTGACACTAGTCTGCATGAGGCTATTCAAAATTTTGTTCGGTTTACGAAACAAGAAATTGCGCAGCCCACCAATGCTACCGCTGCCAGTATCCACGTTTGAAGATTTGGTGTCGGCTTCGGTGTCAATGTCTGTGTCTGTTGATCTTCCACCGTTGACGGTAGCGGTGCCGGCCATCATGGTTACCAAGGGCATGCCGGTCGTCAGGTGTTGGGTTTTATGCTCACGTGTCGAGCTCTTTGTCCGTACGTGATCGTGTCTGTTAGTGGCCGCCTGTGATATGAAAACGATGATGATATAATATTACTATATAGAAGCATAGGTACGTATAGCAAGGATTATTTTAGTAGGTGTTTTAAATTTTTATTTAAATTATGCATGGTGTGTCATAACAAATGGATTTGGATTAGGTGTTACTGATCAGTGAATAGGAGACAAGGGATAGTCCTGTGTCCATAATAATGGTAGACCAATGAAGTTTCAGTTGTTAACAAGTTTTAGCCTAAAGCACAAATGTAGATTGTAGTAGAGGCATTTTTCTCAAACTAGAAATCAGCCGTTATGACATTCTACATGAGATTACTGCACGAGAAAGGCAGAGGACAGCGAGGCCACCCCTGCCTAGTTATTTAAATCACAAATTCATAATCTATGGTAGCGGAAAATATTTTGTTTTTGCAAAATTTAAACAATTTCCGGACATATAGGAAATAATTAATAGTAGCTTCCGAGGTAGGTACATAATTAGTTGGTACTAACAACCTAAAAAAAAAAATGTTTATTATATCTAAAAAATTATTTTAGATTTATTTAGCTAGTCATCTTAATATTTTTGCGATAGTCATCGCAAGTTTTAAAAATAAAATTGTATAGATTTAGTTCACTTAATAATTGTACTGCTAACTTTTTAACACTGAACTAAAATTGGTTACTGAAAACTAAATTCCTAACTTAAATCATAGTTTGAAATGGATTATTTTAAGAAAAAACTGATCGAGTTCAAATTAATAATGGCCAATTATTAGGTAGATACTTAATTAATGTAGTTGTCTTTAAAAATAAAATCGGGGTTACACGTGAAGATGTATAGTGTATAATATTTTTTTATTTTATCGATTTAGACGCAACAATACTTCGATTTACGAGTAATATATAGTACCTATTTCAAAAACATTTTTGTACATAACATTAAGAATATTCAATTATTTAAAATGAAATTATGAAATAAATTTTTTGTGTACCTAAATATTAATAAATAAGTTACTATAAGCAGTACAAACATATTTTATATTTCGAATCCCGGGAACGCTACAAAAAAAGTTTGTATCGAATCCGTTTTATTCAATTTAATTTCCAAACAAATATACAAATTATTATATCCTACGAGGTTTGTTATAATATTTATATATTTACTATATATACTCAAACATTTCTGGGTACATTTTCATGTCTTGATTTCCCAAGTTCTTAACTCTGTCAGTGGTGCCCATTAAATATTTAATACTGTTGATGATGTTTCCCGCAAAGAACCAACTAGATTCACTTTCCTACCAGAAAAGACACTGCTGTAGAAAATCGAAGCATTTTTACTTCGCCAAGATGTGATGACAGGCACAAAAATAAAATAATATATACATCATTGTAAAATCAATTCATCGATCCACTCAGAATATAAAAATAAATTTGTTTTGTAATTAGTGCATGAATCACAGAAAGTGTAATTACTTTTTTGTGCTACTATTATATTAATATAATAATATAAAGGTAATATAATTTTATCAAATAACCATGAAACACCACACACTATAATATTAATTACTATATTATATTTATATATTTTAAAACCTCGTAACTACACCAAAAGTAATTAATTTATGAAACTATGAAAACAAAGAAAATAAAAGTTTTTGATTTTAACTATAGATGAATTTATTATTTTAAATACACTAAGAAAATCTATATTTTTTAATCAATTAATTAAATTAGTTAAATTTAAAAGTTAGCTATAAAATTATGTATGTAAAGGCCAAAAGTTTAAAAAATTAACTTTTCAACTTAACTTGAGCTTTTAACTAGTCAATGCGTATCTTTGCACTCACTTGGTCATAGTAACAGCACACCAACCACAGCGCAACAATAGTTGCGCGCTTGGTGGTCGCTAACATTTCGACGACGGCAAATAGACGACGATGACGGCCCTAAGTATTGGTGCAAAATAATAATTCAACAACAACAATAATTATTATTATTATTCTCATACGAATTGTCAATAATAGTATATAATAATATGATTATGTATTCAATTATTTGGGACGTCTATTATAGAATTATAATATTGTATAGGTAAGTAGGCCCTCGGAATCAGTCGCCGGGGCCGTTGGGCAGCGTGTAGTCTTGTTTTGTACAATTATTATTAAAATAATTAGTTGTACACGTCGCACTTTTAGTGATGTATTTATTATTTATTGTGTGTCGGTTTCGCGGTCCACAACTGTAACGGCGCACTATAAATTATAATATAATATAATTATAATAACATCGCACGCTTTTCGATAACCTACGACGATCGCGGCGACTTCCGACCGGGCGCGTGTCAATATTGGCGCGGAAACGCTTGACGAGCATATAAAACATTATTTTAATACGTACTCATCACACATAATAATATTATACAATCATCAATTGCCGTCGTTATTATAATGTTTTACACGCTCGGCAATGTATACGCAAGTGTTTCGTCAAACCTTCTATGCACACTGCGTTTCTCATATTACGTCGCTCGGGGCCTACCTATATTATTGCGTGCGTATGCAAACACACGATAGAGTATTAATTTTTTTATTATTTTTTTTTTTTTTTATTTAATCATTTTTCATTACAATGTACTACGTGAGAACACTGAGAACGACATGTGACACGTCGTGTCATAGAGGTTGTGGACAATGTCGAGGTCATATTAAAATAATAGTCTTGGGCTTAGTTCACAGAATTTTTGAATGTTGAAACTAAAATAATATGGGGGAGGAGAGGGGTGCGCAAAGTATTCGGAAACAATTGATCAGAAAAGTTTTTTACCAGAAAATTAATAAGTATTAGACCCGTAGGCGTATTTCGTCCGAATAATATTATGTGATTACTTACGCCGCCGAAAGTAAAACAACAGAAAACACTTGCAGACCACTTGTAAATACATAATTGTATACCGGACTAGACATGAAGCGTTCGAACTTGATTTTGAAAAAAATTATTCATCGTCATACAACTATCGAATCGGTTTTTATATACACGACAGATAGTATAGGTATGTAGAGGTATGTAGGCACTTAGCAGGTACAGTATTATGCAATAATGCAATAGCTAAATTTAGTTAAAAATAAATTATATTATCTAGATAATAAATACAAAATTAGTATCCAACTGAAAGTCCCAGGTATAAATTATCGCCATCGACATCAATTGCGCGATTGAGTTTAAAATTATTAAATGGTATTTTATAAATTACGTTTTGTTTAACGATATTATATTATTTATTATATTATATTATTAGAATTTAGATTTTGACTGTTGCTTACATGAAATACACTTAAAAAAACCTACTCAGCATTAGAAACATTAGAACAACAGAAACAATCAGTGCCGTAATTAGAGAGTCAAAGACCCAGGTGCAAACAAATGCATATGATGGGCCCCTTTTTCTTGAGATTAACAACAACAAAAATCGGGTAAGTCGTGGATGTCGCTCTGCTGTACAGTAGATTACAAGTGGGTTACTAAAATGGATTGAATTAAATTTGAATCCAATGATACTATAATATCATTGCATTCGAAAAACGATTCTGAGCGAAGACGGTTTATCTGTCTAGGATATATTATATATTATTAAAAATGTTCAAACTTAGATTTAAAAAGGACATTTTTTATGAATTTCTAGCTTAAAATAATTTGCGAACTTCCATGATTTTTACGTATGTTGTCAATATTCAGACTTTGAATGCTTGTAAAAAAAAATTGTGCCTATGTATTTTTAATATTTTTCAACTGCTTTTGTAACAATGTGTAAGAAGCCTTGTATTATATTTTTAARTTTTTCTACCCAACAAATACATTTTTATCGATGTTTATAGAAAAAAAAAACTAAAAAAATTGAAAAATTTAAATGTCAGTAAACAAATCAAAATATTTACTCGGTAGTTACATATACTAGGTACATGCCACCATATAGATGTCAATACTCTGTTATCAGTTTATCACTGTACTTATCTACTCGGTAGTCGGTAGTTTTTACTACGAAAGTCCTACATAAAACATAATATTATGATTTTAAATAATCAATTATACTTACCTTGATTTACTTATATGAAATGCCTAGTAAGTATTGTAATTGTAAGTAGTATAAAACACTAATATTAAATATTTATACAGTAAGTAGGTAGTAAATAATAATTTTCAACTAACATTGCAAATTATGATGAAAAAAATTAAACTATAAATAATTTATTAGAAAATATTAGGTAAAATTACATTTTACTTAAATAAGGTCAATAACGATAAACGCAGCATAAAATGAAATTTTTATTCAAACGCGAGCACTGTTCAATTTAACCACAGCTTTTTAAATTGTATTGCAATTTATTTGAATTTGTCTACTCATTTGGGCAAAAAAATTATTTTAACAATTTTGTACATGTAATTTTAATTTGGTTATTCCTGCACCACATCGAAGGTTTATGAACATTTAGTACCTATCAAAAATTGTCCAATTACTTATGAAATTTTAATTGTGAAAAATTTTATATTTAGTCAATTTTTAATTAATTTTTGTTTTTCTAGCTTTCAGCTCAACAAACATCTTTACAAGTTGTATTGTATCAATATTTCTGCTTTGTACTCCGATGGCTATAAAATTGATAAATCACTGAGGCGTTTTTGTTTATGCATATTTCTTATGAATAATAATTATTAAGTAATTTCAACTATAATAATTATCGTTTTGCATTTTCTGATATTAATGCATATTACTTACTATTATAATAGACCTATAGTAAGTGGTAATGTTAAAAATATTATTCATTTGGTTGCTAGTTTGTTACCTTTGGAGCACTTGAAGTTACACGATTGTGTTATTAAAAACCTCTAAAAATTATTTTACAGAGTCTAATTTAAGGGCTACCTCAGTGGCGTAGCCTGGGGGAGGGCTGAGGGGGCTGCTGCCCCCCCGAAATGTTAATAAAATTTAAAAATTATWTTAATGGTCTATAACATTCACTCAAAAAGTCTTAAATTGTATTTTACAAATTTTAAATTGTCATCTTTATTTTGTTAGTTTTCTATAGCTTCGGCCGTGCTAGTAGGTAGGTATTTAATGCACCGCTGTGTAAAAAATTGATCAGTTAATATTTTAAATTTAAATTTTAAATTTTTTTAGTTAGGTACACATTTTTTGTATGAAAACCAGATAAAAGACATAATGTCACAAATAAAGAAGATAGGTACGTCATAATAATATAATGGTACTTATATTATGTTAATCTATTCCCTTTCATACTATGTTCTAACTATTTCAATACAGGTACTAAAATAATGATATAATATTGTATTTATAATGCTATTACTTAGTTATTTTATTAATTATTATTTATTGCCTATTGAGTATTGTTAAAAAAACGACAAGTGTCATTTAAAAATAAAAAAATTTAAATTTATAACTATTTCTTGGCTTAAAATAGTGCGTTCCCTTAATAGTTAATAGATAATAAAAATTGGGTAGGTATACAGCTACCATTAAAATTTGAAACGGTTTCGATTCCTATAGGTAGGTACTTATTTTAATATAACTTTACCGGAATTGAGTTGAAAAATCGTAACTGACATTTAACAATTTAAAATCCGTTCTTTAAACCCAAACCGAAACCGAATATATATAAACCGTTCATACAACTGTCAAAATTGATTAAAAATAATAAAAGATAAAATAATTTATTTCTAGATAACTTTAATATATATCACTGTCTCAAAATTTGAATTTATTATATTTTGATTAAAATATATTAATTGTATCATAATATTATTACAAAATGTAATCAATATACCTATATTCTAAGAATGCTGTAGATAATATAATAGGTATTCCCCCAAACTTAAAGAAACTATTTGAAAAATTCAAAACAAGATATCTTGCGAACAATGACAAATTACTTTGTTTAATGAAGTCTTTATTTTAACTCGCATATCAAATTTGAAATTGCATACAATTGTTAAAAACTTAAAATTATACTCTAATAATTGATATACCTATTAGGCAAATAAAAAAAATAAATAAAATTGATATATCAAATTTGATATAATTTTTATGGTAAAAACTATGGTGTTATTGTAATTCTTATTACGAATAGTTGTAAATTTAAACCTATTATCAACATTTTAAAACAATAAAAGTTTAAAATAATCATAATTCACATCAAAAAAAAATAATAATAATAATAATGATAAAATTATGATATATCTATCCTAGATACTACTAATCCAATACATTTTATTTGAGGTCATTTCACTCACACACGCATTTTAGAAATTATTATGATTATAAATTATAATCACTATAGTAAACATAAACTATTCAATGTTTCAATGTTAGTCAGAGAGAGGAAAGTACTATACTAAAAGATTAAAGTATGATTTCATAAAATGTATAAATAAGGCACGCAATTAAAAAAATATTTAACATAATATATTGAATTACTTCAGATTAAAATCAATTAATAAAAATGAAATGTGTAAGTAATAATTATTAATTTATCACAAATAACAATTATATATTTCACAGTGGACCCTTTTTTTCAAATGCTATTCAAATATTCTTCAAAAATTCCTTCAATAGTGATTTTTTAAGAATTGTACATCAAAAATGTATTCGAAAATTTGAAGTATACATTTACTCTTTTTTTACTAGTGGCTGCTAAAGTTGAAATAAATATTCAGATTCTGCTTTTGGATTTTTAATTTTTGGATATTTACCATTTATTTGACATGCTTTTATTTATTTTACAGGTAGCTTGTGAAAGATCAATTTCTTTTCTAAAATGTACAAAGACTAAATTTCGTAGCACATTAAGTGAAAATAAATAATTAGAAGCGTTTATATTTGTGATAATAGAATAAAACGACGTCCTTAACGAAATTTATGTTGATGAAAGTATTGAATTACTGAAGTGAAATGAAGTCTAAAAGCACATTATTAAAGAATAAATTGTCTTATTAAATAAATAATTTTAAAAATGAA